TTAATCGCCCGAACCTACTTCTTTCGCCGAAATTAGCGCATTCACGGTGAAATGAGTATCAAGATACCTAAGTTTTAACATTTTTTATCACAATTTACAACATGATTTCTGCATTGAATGATTCAAAAGACCCTACTCACTAAAACCCCCGCCGCTCAGGTTGTGTCGATTTTGATTAAGTCGATCTGTGTATTTTAAGAACTGTACAAAAAATACAGTAGGACCGTAGATTACCAACGAGGGTTCCAACTTTGAATGTGCTCGAAGAAAAAATGCAAGAAAAGATCAACTAATATACGAGTGCAAGCAAGGAATTGTTGAAACTTTTTGATATTTTTGATATAAAAAGTATCACGATAAACGTAGGTTGTTAATGGAAAGAAGTGACATTGTAGCATGGCGTTCTCGGTATTTTAGAGACGTGTGATATACTCGTACTTGGATGAGACCTATATCCACCCATTATATGGAGTAAATGCTGGCAATCCGATGAAGTATCGGGAGTTTATCAGTCCAATAGGGATGGCCAGAGGTACATCATAGATCATGCTGGTGGTCGTTCTGGTTTTGTAGAGGATGGTTTGTTGTTGGCCAAGTAACGATATAGTGAAAAAAGTTAATAATACGAACCAGGGTTGTCAACCCCTGTACTGTAACAAATTGTTATAAAGTTACGCATTTTCGGTATTTTCTATTTAAATTTACAAATTTTCTATCTGGACCCTCCCACCAGGAGCGTCCCCATTCGATTCTTTTTTCTAAACTCGAACTGTTGTGTCTTTTCGCTTTTTGCTAGAATTTATAAGAGTTTCTATTCCGCGCTGAAGCACTACACTTACATTCTACATCATTATTTAAGTCTTTTTCACAAATGAAACACTTTTTTATGATGCTTTCTGGTTCCATATTGAACGCTCGATCACCGAAAATAACGCACTGGAAAAAAGGAAGAACATAACTAATGGCCATTTGCACCGACAAATTTGAGCTGAGCTTAGCTTAAGCGTTGCTTAAAATCCATGGCAACGATTATTGAGACAATGGTTGTCATGGATTTTGAAGTTACCCTTAAGCTAAGTTCAGCTTAAATTTTTCGGTGCAAACAGCCATAAGTTTTCGAAAAGCTGAACAGCAAGACGTTATGTTCTATCAACAGGAAAATCCGACAGCAAAATTTGACGCCAATATGCGAAAAACAAACAATTTTTTAGCTACATACCAAACCCACGTATCCTCTGGTTGAACTGTTCGATGGAGATACATGGTTTTGAAATGTAGCAACAAAGTTGGGTCTCTTTCGTTAAATGCTGTCCAATTATGCATTTGAATAACGAATGCCGAGTTTCTGACGAAACAGCCAATAAGGATATAAAAAATCAAAAAACCACACTAAAAGAAGCAATCTTACGTCGATGATTGCCAAAATTAGGGATGCAATTGGATGTTTTTCAAAAGCTCCTCACATTCGTAGAGCTTACTGATCGTGAATGACGTCAGTTCCGTTTTTTGCGCGCGAAATTTTGGAAATTGCGGAACGTCATTTTTGGGCAGAATTTCGTCGCACTGTAGTGGCGTTAGTTTTTATCCGATTTTTATCAACAAGGGCTCATCGCAAAGGAAATTTTATGCACTTTAATTTATTACTGATGTTTCTTCGCCAAAAAGCCGATACCAAATGAGTTATTTCGCGTTTTGTGGGAAAACCGCCGATTTTCCGCCATTTTTCCAAGATGGCGGCTCCCGCGTCATCCGGATTTTTGTGCAAATGTCAAATTCGGATTCAGCGACCAAAAAAACATAAACCCTGCATCATGGTTCTTTGTCTCAGAAATTTGGTTCACAGCCATAATCGACTATTGTGAATTGAAATAAAATAATTTCAAGATGGCGCCGCTTCCGCAAATACCGGAAGTTGGCACCATCTTGTTTTTGTTTAATAGAAACATACCATCTTCTATTTTTTTTCTAAATGCGCCATTTTATTATGAATTCAACGCAATTAAGGTTTACATACCTATCTGTCATACTTTTTGACATATGTCAATTTTTCTTTGACATGCGAGGGTCCATTCAAAAATTCATCTCTTAAACTGTTCAAGATAAGTGAGTGCTCTTTTTATAATGGAATCCTTAAAGTCTTAAGGAATTTTTTAAGTGACCGCTGAAAGTCTGAAAAAAGTGCTGCTGCGATATCAATAAAAAATGTCAAAAACTTCAGTTTTTCAAATTGCAACTTCTATTTTTGATGCCAAAAATGAATGTAGTTTTAAAATTTATTAATAGTAATAATAGTAATAATAGAGATTTATTGCCCAACAGAACAGACCTTCCAATTACAGGACAATACATAATAGTTAACGCGCAATGATTTAATGTAATAAGAAAAAAAAAGAAAAAGAAAGAAACAACAAAAAACTCAAAATCTTAACATAACTAAACAACAACAAAATAATTAAATTCATATTTTAAAAAAAAAAAACCAAATTAAATTGTCGACAAACTGCAAGTTACATTCTATGCATATAAAATAAAGAGAGCAGGTGTAACGTGACATTTTCACTGTTATATCCGGTAGTTTTTAAAACAAATATTCTTATTTTAGCGCATTTTCCAACTCATGTTGGAAGTAGGGTTGCCATACGTCTTGAAAAAGGGGGATTTGCCCTGATTTTTTAATAAAATTAGACGTCCCGCCAGAATTAGAAAAAATATCCCGAATTGTCCCGATTTCTATGCGTGCAAAACATGGTTATATATCACCAATCAAATTCAACAGCACACCTTTGAAAGACCTTCGATACATTTAGAGTACTTTAATTAAATTAATAAAAATATTTATTATTTATTTATAAATTATTTATAAATATTTATTTCGTCCTGATTTTACGTGACGGGAACGCCTGTTTTCCCGCTTTCATACACCGAGCGCCCGATTTAAGTTGAAACTGGACTGTGGTGTTGCTAAGGGTCCCTGGTTCGAATCCGGGTTCGGGCATGGATATTTGTAAATGTATAGTGGGTTGGGTTGGTGCAGCAGCCTTGGCTGAAACCCCGCCCATTCAAAAATAAAGGCAAATAAATAAATAAGGCGCTATTATGGTCACTTTATCCGTCCTTCCGAGGCCTTAACTACTCCTACCTCGACTTCTTCAGTTTGCGAGATATTTAGTTCGTTCTTTTTTGCATTAGGTAGCTAATAGCTCTGGCATCGCAACCAAGAAAGACTGCACAATATCAACTTTCTTATGAATAGAGATTTTTTGCCATTTTAACAAAGATTCTTCTAGTGGCTGACATATCGCATATTTTAACGCATGCGCAGAGTGTTCCTTTGTACACATAAATAGTGGAAAATGCGCTGAAGTTACTCTCCTTAACGCGAAAACCTTTTTACATTTTTTTGAAATATAAACATCTAAAATCAACGGACTAGACCCGATAGTATTCGAACCCTGTGCACCGCATAAATACTCTAGCTAGAACCATCAAGTGCTTCGAATTTTTGTGTACAGGGTGGTTCAAATTTGTAACTCGCTCGCCATTGGGATCTCCGTAACGGTGCAAGATACAATGTTTTACGGAATGAGATAGAGAACAAAACGAGAAATTCATTTGAATGCATTGCCATCATAGCTGCTATGTTGATCCCGCAAGATCTAGTTACCCATAGATGTTTTGTTGAGAAACGAATGTAAAACATTTGATTTTGAAATCTTTCTTGCAAATTTATGTAAAAGTATGTCTATCTCATTCCATAAAAACCCAATATGGCACCCATAAGAAATAAAAAAGTATAGTGGTCTGCTGCTTGTAGATCTAGCGCGTTATGGAAAATATGATTCAGATTCTCCGAAAAAAAAGTGTCCATAGAGGGTGCTAACAGGTACCTATTGTCTTTTTCAATTTCTCGGTTTCTCAGTTCAAAAATGTCAAATGTGAATTTTTGGGCACAAAAAGGGGCAGCTTTGCCTCCATTTAACCATACAACTATGGTCAAATTAGGGAAAAGTTGCGCAATTAAACAGTTATTATCATGCTTAAAGAAAAAACCAGAAAATTCCGATTCCTTCCGAAGATGTACCAGAAAAACTGAAATTTGCCGATTTCGTTGTATTTTTTTCTGATGTTACTTGAACAGATACACAAAAAATAAAAAACACTTTCCCATTGTCTCTTGTTGAGCTTTACAAGATACCGTTGACAGATTTTCAAAAGAACGTTTCGTTTCATCATCAACGATATACGGCACACACAAAAAACAATAGTTGGAAACTGTTGGTTTCAACAGGATGGTGTTTCTGCGCACAACACCCTAATAGTGCGAGAATACGTATCCGACAAATTTCCTGGAAAATGGAAAATTTCATTATGTTATCACTGTTATCAGTTATCACAATGAGTTTGAATGTCACCATATTTAATCACTTTTTTGCATGAAAAGCGATTCTTAGATTCAGAATTGATTTATTCGCGTAGGTTTTTTATTACTCGCCTTGTTACGAATTAGGCCAACCTCCCGTTTTAACAAAAAATTAAGCTCGCAGGTAACTCCCACTTCAATTACCGCTTCTTAACGACGCGATTGAAGCATGGCAGCACCATTCTTGTTAATAATTTTTCCACTTAAAATAAAGCTGGTAAAACTTTATCGCTACTAACTTTCACCAACGAAAGTTTTAGTTTTAGCTTTATCTCGGAAATGCACACCTTTATCGAAAATGCACATGTTGTTATCGCTTTTACTACTTTCGGTCACGTATGCTATGAAGCGGTATATGTGCAAAGCAAAGCGACCACCGGTTACAACTGCACGAGCTTGCTCCCTTGCGGATCGACGACTAAACTTTCACCTTGCGATCTCCATTTCCCGCCTGTTCCGTTTCCCTCGCCAAAATGTTAAACTTTAAATAGGACGTATCGGTTCATCTTATTTACAATCGAGGGCCCTCAAACCCCTGCAACAAAAGCTCTAGTATTAATTATAGTCTCTTTTGCTTCAGGTTAGAATGCACCGAAGCCTCGGATTGGGAGGTGGAGGATCTATCGCAATCCGATCTGGCGGCGGGGTATACGATGGGAAAATTGCGGGCCTTTACGATTTGGAGGAGACGCTCGGTCGGGGGCACTTCGCCGTAGTGAAATTGGCCAAGCATGTCTTTACCGGGGAGAAGGTCGCCGTTAAGGTCATCGATAAAAGTAAGCTCGACGATGTTTCCAAGGCTCATCTCTTTCAAGAGGTAAGTGGCACGGTGTAGCATACGCGGATACATGTATTTGTAGGTCCGTTGTATGAAACTAGTCCAACATCCGAACGTCGTTCGTCTGTACGAAGTAATTGATACTGCCACGAAGCTTTATTTGATTCTCGAGTTGGGAGATGGAGGGGATTTGTACGATTACATTATGCGACACGATGCCGGTCTCTCGGAACAACTGGCACGTGACTACTTTTACCAAATTGTCAAGGCAATATCGTACTGCCACCGACTGCATGTAGTGCACCGTGATCTCAAGCCCGAAAATGTCGTGTTCTTCGAAAAACTCGGCGTTGTTAAGTTAACGGACTTCGGATTTAGTAATAAGTTTTTTCCCGGTCAAAAATTGGAAACGTCATGCGGCAGTTTGGCTTATTCTGCACCCGAAATTTTATTAGGCGATTCTTACGATGCTCCAGCTGTTGATGTTTGGTCTCTTGGTGTTATTTTATATATGTTAGTGTGTGGGCAGGCCCCATTTCAGGAAGCAAATGATTCCGAGACGCTTACCATGATCATGGACTGTAAATATACTGTTCCAGCGCATGTTTCAAAAGACTGCCAAGAGTAAGATCGACACCGAATAATTTTTGTTATGCATTTGCTTTTGTTTGTAGTTTGATAGCTCGAATGCTCGTGCGCGATCCCGAAAAACGAGCAACACTCGCGCAGATCGCTGCGCATCCGTGGCTGGCTCAGCAAAAGGGCGATCAATCTTTAGACATTGTACCTCTCATTACCCGAGAGCAACTGTCGGATGAAGATCACAACCTCATAGTTCAAAAAATTGTAAATGGAAATATCGCTACCAAAGAGGAAGTCCAAGAGTAAGTCAAACTGTGATTCCTTCTAAGATGACAATTTACTTGCAGGAGTATCGAAAAGAACGCCTACAATCACATTACCGCCACATATTACTTGCTAGCCGAAAGAAAATTAAAGTCGAAACGTCTCGAACAGACGCATAAAGGTCGACGACCTGAACATTTGGCCGTTGCGCAGGGCTCCCCCACCCCTCTTCGCGATTTGGGAGGCACCGGACCAACTCCCAACTTACTTACTGTACCCCGAACTCCCGGAGAATTACCGCAGGTACTTCCAGTTATAGTCTTTGTACACATTACAGGTCAAAATCAATTTTAGCGATCTCGGAAGTGCAGCATAGTACAGGAGGACGAAGAAGAAGAAGACTTGTCGAGCTGTTCCGGCCGAGAGGAGTTGGCTCCGCCTCACAATTCGCTCAACAGGCGAGGATCTCGTTCGGAAGGCCGTTTGAACCTCGCCCTACAAGAGCGCTTGTCCGAATCGGAAAGGCGGAAACAAGATATTGCCATAATTAAACGTGAAGTGCTTCCAAAAATGAACATTTTAAGAAACCTGTGCGAAGACAGGCCTAAATCGGCGGAAAACAAGTGGAGAATGGGAAAAAGCGCGAGTATACCTGAAACGACATCTCCGATTCAGGCAAAAATTATTAACAACATGCAGCCCAACTCGAACGTAGTCCCGACAAGTATTATCAGCGAATCGTCGACGATTACGATTCCCATTGTGACAACTACACAGTACAACACGCCCCCAGTGCAGAAATTCAACACCATGCCTTCTCCCACCCGAAATTCTCCAGCAGCTCCTCAATTGCAGCTGAATGAAATTTTCGAGGAGGGTGACTGTACGGAAGTCAACCCGCGGTCCGCGCCCCGACAGTTCGTGAGCCGAAATCAGAAGCGAACATCGTACGAACAAAAACGGTCTAAGTTTCACAAGAATCGCACCGCCTCCTGCAGTTCATCGGACGCTAGCGACGACGATAGCGAAAGTAGGAAGAAAAGGGCTCACAAACTCGCCAGCGCGGAAAAATCGATCATCAAGGGCCGCCGTGACTCGCACGACGACAGCAGCGACTCCCAAGAGCCGGGAACGGGCGCGAGCGCCGGTACAACGAACGGTAGACTAGGATCCGTATCGATCATAGCGCAAAATAACGTTTCGAACACTCAAGATTCGACCAAGAGTAATTCCACTAGTAATAACAGCAATAGCGGCCGAAAGAACGCCGGAAATTCGGGTATCGGCCGAAGGCATAAGACTGGACGAAGGAGGGAGACGAGACTGCGCGAATCTCAATCTTTAAATCGCATTACGGAGGTTCAAGAAGACGCCTCACATTCTGTCGTTATTAATCCTGTTTATAACGCAACTCCATGTGCCAATGTTGTCCCAAAGGCGAAAGGTTTGGGCGCCCGTATTTTACAGGTAAGCTCATTTTTCTTTGAAAGAGAACGAATCTGGGGTAACGTTGTGTTATTGAACGCAGGTGAAGGCAGAGCAACTTTAGCACTATGTGACGAATGTAGGTAAAGTTGTGCGTGTTGAGGTTTTCTTTTTGCTAATTTATCTCCCATCACTTTCTACGATAATTAACCCTAGAGAATCATTTAGTCACATTAATAAAACGTTCATCACTGTGCTCGATGGCAATATAACATGTTGAGCGTAATTAGATACTTAACGTGGTTGTTTTTAGATTAGAAACATGGTTAACTCTAATACCAGTGACTTTGATATTCAATTGTGCTAAAATTATCCGCACAGTTAGGTACTGTATTAGTTCATGGAAACATGGATAAAAGACACAAATAGAAGTTGTCCATATTAACCTCTCAGAATAGAGTTTTTCTCCACCTATGGTGGTCTTTATTTCCCTTAATAATTCAGCTAGTGATCATGAGATTTCACCACTGTCTTGACGGGAACGATTCTATTTGGGTGTTTTTTTTTCTATAATAAAAAGGTACTATGGCTTAGTGGCAATTACAAGAGGTAACAAGAATCTTTTCCTGTTAACTGTCCCCAAATGTGTCTTATTCAATCGCGATTTACCTGTACAAGGTCAAGGATGCTATGTAACATAGGATAGCCAGATCCCCATGCCTGTAATGTTCCTCACGTTAAATCGTATTCCCGCCCGTATGTGACGTCACCCACTGACCTGCTTGTCAGAATTCCCCGTTATAATTGATGAATTGTCAATGCTTGTGCATTAGTGTTATAACTGTTTCAAGTCTTTACCATTGTACCTACATTGCAACAAAAAGGTACGCCGATGTGAACCCGAATATCATTTACTGTAGAAGTCAAACCGGGGTGCACGCATGCGTATGGGGTACGAAAAACAGACGGAGAGAAAGAGCGTTGTGCGTGTGTTACCATGAAATTATTATGAACATTTTATATAGACATTAAGTTTTTTCTCAGGGTTTATTTATGTTGTATATATTTTGTTATTCAATTACATTTTATTCCACGTGTCGTTTTTTCAATTCAGTTCAATGATTCCCATGCGCCTTGTTCAACCCAACCAATGATTTCATATGCAACGGGTGGATATTGTCGAGGATATTATGCTGCAAGCGAGATATATATCTATTTAAATTTAAAGTGGTGCACAAATCGACGGAAACTATGCGCATTAATAGCCAAAGCATGTGGCCTGGTCCGCAAGTGACGTCACAACCCACCACTATAAGCGGCGAAAATACACCGTGATCTGGCAATCCTATATTATAATATAGTACATCCTTGATACAAGGTATAATAACAGGAGCGGTGAGATCGACTGGTTTTAAATAGTAGTAGACAAGAGATATCTCCGCCCCTTTCTTCATACAGGGTTGTCGATTTTCTGTTTTGCACTTATGAAAGAGCTACTTTTGTCAAAAATTGCAAGTGGTGAACAGTCACTTAGCAAGAGGGTTACAACTGTGCTTGGTGCTTTCGTGCTAATTCTGCCCAAACACAAGACTGTTCTATGATGAGTTATGAGATTATACTACTTCACAGTTGATGCTGCAAATGTGAGATCTGGCTCTGGTCCCAAAACTGTTGTTTTGAGGCCATCCTGGCTAGCGCATTGGCTTTTTTGTTGCCTTTTTGGCTCTTGATCGATTACTTTGCAAGTGATTCAACAGTTCTATGATAGTAAACAGTCTGAGTAACCAAACAAGTGTTCTTTACGTAAACATGGGTTTCCTCAGTCCATTATAAGATCTAGAAATTTCATAAACTCTGAAAATTGGGGGTGTTTTTTGCGGAAGGTGAGACGCCCAAGCTTACTTTTTGTAGCGACAAGAAAAACCTCCATTTTTGTTAATGTTAATTGATAAGGAGTGCTTTTCACGCCAGGTTTCAGTGGTCTGAGAGCACTTCGCAAATTTAAGGCTTGTGTGCGCCAATATAGTGGCGACCCCTACTGACAGGTGCCTAGTCAGGGAACTAAGATATAGATTATTCTGTTCTATTCATAAGGGGAGCCCGACCAGGCAGCACTTAGGTGCGCCAAAGGCCCACTGTGCCTACCCTCTTTCTTTTGCAACTAGGTTTAGAGCCTGTTCCTCTCAATAAAGGATCGCAGAGAAGTTTTAGAAGCTTAGAAGAACCAGATTTTCCAAGGAGACCTTTTAAAAACGCCCTGGGCTGCCCGAGCCCGGTTGCTTGTTGCCACTGAGCCTGGAATTGACTGATCATCCAGTTTTTAATCCTGGCCCTGACAACAGAGAGAGAGCAACCAATTCCTAAGGTAGGCTCGGGCACCGAGATCAAGCTTACCCTATTAGATTCACCTAATCTATCTAGAGTTTGCCTGCGATCAAGCACTGTAGCCGATCGAAACCTGTCTACTAACAGCGCAACATCTCTGCCAGAAACACAGGCCTACAAGTGTCTCAATGGCGAAAGTTGACGTGGTTGTCATGTGTCCAGTGACTCCCAAACAAGCAAGTCTCTGAACCTGTCCTAGCTGCTTCCTGTAGGTTGCCCTGCACATGGCAGGCCACCGTACAGTATTATTGGACTTATCAATACAGGGTAAAGCCAATATACCAGTCGAGGGTTCAAGCCCCATGTACAGGGTGGCCAAATAAGAATGCGAGGTACTGTATCTGGGAACCTGTCCATCGTAGAGGCTTGCGGTAAAAAAATTTATTACTAAAACGGCCACGAGAAAAACTTGGAAAATATTTTTATGTTTCTGCAATGGCCGCTAGGGGGCGTAACTGCGATCTGGAATCTAAAAAAATGATTTTTCTGTGAATTCCGCTATATTAACCTAACAAAAAAATGTCCGGTCTTTAAAGTTGACGATAATGTGAACAATTTTTGTTTGACAATTTTTCCTGTATTTAAAAATGAAGTGGTGGGGGGTATTCAAAGGTTTCCGTAGAGAACACCCTGTATCTTCGAAACGACTGAGCCGATTTTAACAAACTCGGGTTAATTGAAAAGAGTTATTCTTCGGCTACAAATATTATAATATTTGAAGTTTAGTTAGTTTGGCATATCGCCGCTTGAGGGCTTTTTTCCACATTCCGACAGAAATGGTTAATTTTCTCAAAAAATTTAAATGCGTTGGTTTGATTTTTTTTAACTGAAAAAGTAGCTAAATGATACCTAAACTAGCTCGCGAAAACCGCATCTCGATATTTTGTTCCTAACCTAAAATTGAGGCCAAATGAAATTTTGTACTCTCAAAATTTTATTTTTTTAAGCTAATTTTTCCGGAATTATTTTTATTATATAATTTGTGTCCCTAAGGTGGATCGCTTTAAAAAAGGAAGCTTTTAATGCCGCCGTAAATGCTCGAAATCACGATATAAAAATATATATATATCAAGATATCGAGATGCTGTTTTCGCGAGATTGTTTAGGTATAATTTAGGTACTTTTTCATGAAAAAAAATCGCACCAATGCATTTAATTTTTTTGAGAAAATTAACCATTTCTGTCGGGATGTCGATAAAAGCCCTCAAGCGGTGATATGTGAAACTAACAAAACTTCAAATAGTATAATATTTGTAGCTGAAGAATAGCTCTCTTGAACTAACCCGAGTTTGTTTAAATCGGCCCAGCCGTTTCGAAGATACAGAGTGTTCTTTACAGAAACCTTTGAATACCCCCCACCACTTCATTTTTAGAGAAACAGGAAAAATTGTTCAGATTATCGTCAACTTCAAAGACCGGACATTTTTTTGTTAGGTTAATACAGCGGAATTCACAGAAACATCACTTTCTTAGATCCCCGATTGCAGTTACGCCCTCTAGCGGTCATTTCAGAAACTTAAAAATATTTTCCAGGTTTTGCTCGTGGCCGTTTTAGTAATAAATTTTTTTACCGCAAGCCTCTACGATGGATAGATTCTCAGATACAGTACCTCGCATTCTTAGTTGGCCACCCTGTACAGCCCTTCTACATGCTCATAGACATGAGTGGCCATTTTGCCTATTCGCTCAAATGTGCCCTTTATAGGTCAGGCGGGAATCTATGATGACTCCCAAATATTTCACTGACCTGGTCAGGCCCAGTTGGCGTCCTCAAAGAGTGAGTCCATCAAGGTCCGCTCTCCTTCTATTAGTAAATGGACCAACCTCGGTCTTTTCTGGGTTAATGGAGAGGGCATGTCTACTGCACCACCTATCCGCCTACCTTTCCCGCTATGACGATCGCGTGATCGTCCGCGTATCCTTGTGTATACGCGGAGGAACTCGTCTAGCACCACAGCAGAGGAGACGGGCATAGTAACCGATGAGATCATCTTCGTCGTCCCGATTATGGATATAATGACTCTGTTGCTGAGCATGGCACGGTTCCATTTTACAATTGATCCATCAGTGCCAGTTACCAGTTTTACTTTAAAATCAGTAGTGAACAGTCAACTAATCGATTAGTCAGTTAGCCAATTGTTTAATTAATCAATTGGTCAGTTGATTATTCAGACATATAGGCAATTAATCGACCAAAGCTTAAATTACATATGTCAATTTACTTCCGCAAGAATAGCGGAGTTAAAATGTATCGATAACCAAAGTGCATTTACATGTTAAGCTCACGGAATAAAAACGAAATAAAATATTACCTTTGAGTCATAGCCGAAGCCCTACCGAGCTCAGAAGAGCGCTTTCTGCCAATAATCTGCAATCAGATGAAACACAAAACAAAAGAGAGGGCGTGATAGCGCGGCACATAAATGCATGACAAATTAACGTTTGACACGTTGGGTAACTCAAACACAAAAATTGTAATCAACATTCAATGGAAAGCAATAATTAATTTCAGGATCAATATTCAGGACTTAAGTAAACAATGTCGATGTAGGTCATTGGCGAAAATATCACGTGATATTGAAACTGAAAATGGCGGTTCCATATAAAAATGCGATATCATCCAAATTCTACGTATTTATCAAATTAATATACCGATGTATGTCGAAATATCTAGGTACAAAAGCAAAAAAGGGAAAAAAACGCGTACGAGAAAATTTAAGGAAGATCAAGACAGAGGGGAAAATACAGAAAGGTACATTCGGTGACCTCTAGCGAACGTACATGAAAAACAAGAGGTGAAACACCACATCGAATTTCCACGAGAAATATACAGATGGCGTAACGTAAATGGAATATAAATTTAAAACTGAAAAAAAGCGTTACAAGTAGGTAAGGTGGTGATACAACTGAAAGTAACTAAAAGTTACTAAAAAATTGAAGGAAAACCAGAATTCAAAAAACTTCCTTCATTCTTATTTTCTTAATAAACTAAGTTTAAAATTGTCACATGGCTTAAATGCATTTTCGTGACCTTCAATTTGAAAGACTTCTTAAAATTGAAGAAAAAGATTGACACGTGTAATATAAGCTTAAGACTGAAAAACTTGTCGCGAGACGAGAAGCTGATTTGGTTAGTTGATTTCGCCTAATCGAATCAATTGTTTTTTAACCGTTATAAATGATCCTCTCGCAACTATGCAGTTTAGTGTTTGCACACCAATGTTGATGTTTAGTTAGTAACTCTTAAATTACGCCATGTTGGTGTAGATCTTCACTCTGGGTCTATGAATATTCCTTAGATTGGTCATAGGTCCCATTGATTTCCTGTGGTCTCACTAAAGTCCTTGAAAGTGTATTTGAAATCTACATGAATCTGGTGTGCACTGCATGATACTGCAAATTGACCCTCAAAACAACATTTACTTCAGCCGAGACAAACTCTGACGGAGAAAGTGGCTATAATATTCGCCATTTCTGACCAAGATTTTCTTCTTTTTACGAGTCTCGCAGAAAATGTGGTTGGTGTCTAATCACTGCCCTCTACAAGATGGAATTTCAACCAAGCCTTGTTCAATTTACAGGGCTCAGATGGCGTCCCTACTAGCAAGCGTAGGTTCTTTTGTGTCAGTCTTGCGGATAATCTCGTCCGGTTTCCCGATTGAAACTTGCCGTACAACAGAGTGACATTCACAATTCTCTGTGTCTCTACTAACCCGTCGCTAATTTATGACTTGAAAAATTGACTTCGAAGCATTATTCTGCAGAGTTCCAGTGAAGAGCATTCAGGGTAAATTTAATAGCGCTCTCTGTTGGAAGTTAACCAATGAACACTAAACGCAGAAGCGGCAACATTGCACAACAACGGATTTCTTGTTTTGAGGTGTGCTTATTTGATAAAAAACTGCCCTTGTTGCAACATAACGTTACAATACGGACAGGTGCTTCTGCCGCAATTCGCCCCTGCTCTAGCATTTACATTGTTCATCCATTAAATCTTATTGATACAAATTTCGCTTATCAGGGATTGAGTATGAGCGGAACAAAGAAGCACGACGAGAAGCTGGCAAAGGAAGAAAAGGTTCACCATCTGTCGCGCAAGGATGCGCCCTTGAAAAATTCGGACTCCCACAATTGTCTAAAGCAGCCGAAGACCTTCGAAGAGAAGGAAAATTGCAAATTGGTCGAGAAGGTTTCGACGAAGAAGATGCGTCTGTTCGGGAAATATTTTCAAGTGCATAAAAAATTGTATATTCCGTTGCCGGGCATCTTCAGCAGGAATCGCCTGTATAAGGCGCAGTCGTGCGGGTCGTTAATTCGCGATAAAATTAGTCAAAATCCCGACGTAATAATGCGCAATCGTCAGAGGGCCGCCAGTGTCATTAGGAACAGTATCGGAAGTGAGAGTGACATTAATCAGAACCTGGGATTGAAACAAGGTAAGGACAGGAAGGCCGCGACCGCCGTGCAGTTAAATAACGTTTGCACAGAACTGACGGGTATCTGTGCGACGCATCTCGGTCACGCGTCGAAATGCTGCAGCTTCTGTTGACTCCCATTTTTTAACCAAAGCTAGACAATTTACTATTTATTTACGGAATTTAGTTTAAGTAAATTTATTATATATTTATTGTTATTATAATAACCAAAGTTTTAACAAATATTTATTAATAACGTACTAACTTGTAAGGTAGGTATCAGTGTCGGACAATTTGTACATTAATTCCTTGCACTCGTGCTTTGAGACAGCTGTGACATTTACTTTATTAAACCTATACAGGTTTGCGCTACATCCTTCGACATTTGCTCAAGTTATACATGTAATAATTTATAATAATCATGCAGTGATGAGGTCATTACATTTTCAATTTGACCAACTCATTATGAATCTCTTTCAACTACTTTTGCTACGCATGAAGCAACAACTCTTTTGTACTTACACTTTCATATTTCTCAGAAATCTATTTTGATTTCGCCTGCCCATTAAAATAAGACATATGTAGGAAACATGCTGAGAATATTTTTGCAAATGCGCGCGATCGTGATTTTGGTAAGTAAACACCATAAAACTACTAGGAGAAACATGGGAGACTGAAATTTTCAGTCTCCCTCTTGCATGGCGATATTGCTTCACAATTTAAGCAGCAGTTCATACACCTCTTTGTTTTACACAAGAGGAAAGAAATTATTGCACAATATTGACTGAAAATTCTTAATCTTTTTGCGACGCTAATGATCATTGTATCGCTTGTGTCGAGATCTCTTTTAAATAAATAATGTGCAGCTTTGTATCTATTTTTATAGGGAGAATGTTAAACAGACGGTTTGTCTTGATTTACTGAGCAAACTAAGCACCTGTCTCAGTTTTGAGCTTTGAATGTGGGAACGTGGGGTGTAGTCCTTGTTGCTTCATGTGCAAAGACATGGTGACTACTAAATGATTTCTTAAAATGAATGATCCCTAGGTGTATACATAAAAATTTACACAATATTGTTTGAAGGCCAATTTTGTTTCACCCCCCAGGACAGATTTTACACGATAATATCGTAGTTGTGTGACGAAGAGTGCCTTGCATGACTACAGATCTAACCGAAGTTCCTCTCTTTTCTTCTCATCATCTAGGGCTATCCTTTTTGTTTACACTCACACTCTCTAATAAAAATGTATAATTCGATTCACGACAACATTCTTGATAGCGTAGTTTACGAACTGACTGTACTGTATAGTATGAAAACTCCACAAAATAGGGTAGGGCAATCGTAGCTAAATCGTTCATTGTAAACTTAGAGACATGTTAAGACTGATTAAATTAAAAAACAGTACCAATCGTTGGTGAGACCAAATTTTGTGGACTTTTTTACTGCTTTGATACTAATTATTTGTATGGTAAATCTCGATTTTTTTTATCGAAACGAGAAGATTGATTTTTCTGCGAGATGTACTGTATAATTTGTAAGTAAGGTGCAATACAAATATATAGCGTATATACTTAAAATGGAAATAATTTTATAGGTGACTTAGACATACTTACTCAAATTTGAAATTGCGATAATTGTTCTACCTTGTAAGTATTAAAAATCATGTATTAATCCTGTTCTTGATTGTCTGAAGAAAAATTTGTTTTTTTTATGTGAAGTGTGGAGACACTTAGGGCAGTATGTGCTGTGCACAATTTTTTATTTTGCAAATGAATACGAGGCACAGAAATATGTGCGTCTTTGATTGTTAATTAAGTTCATGCGTGACATTGGTAGATATTTATATGTGAAATACGAATTTTGTTCTTGTGTGCAGATAAAACACGTTAGATGCTATTTATTGATGTCAAGCTGGTCTTGTCGTTAGTAATAGTTGTCCACCATGTATGCATCTGTGTGTGCACATAATAAAGATGTTAGTGATTCTGTTTTTTATTCTGCCTTTTTCTTACCAACTTTCTTTGCTACATTCATATTTTGTTTGTGTATTTTCTACAACTCCCATAATATTCCTTTACATTGCTAAGGTGGGAAGTGTTCAGTTCAGTTTCTGACTGAATTATTTTAAACTAGGTCTTGAGTATCTGTGTATCTCGCTATCGTAGTGTAAAAAATTTGTTGTGGCTAGCACAGATACCACCTGCGCATGTGCGATTCTGCCCTTTTATGTCTTAAGAATATGTACCAAATTTGGTTCCTATCGGTTCAACCGTTTAACCGGAAATGAGAGTACAGACAGACTGACCTAATTGAGATTTTGTTCGATTTGGATTCCTGGTGCTTCAAAACGTGTATTTCCGTCAAAAAAGTGGTTACCCCAATGCAATACCTCCCTTATACTAACGAGCGGGCTCTGACTCTATTAGCTTCCGTCGTGCTCCTTGTTTGACCAGTACATGTTGACTGAATGCTCTGGCACCCACCATAGTGTAATTCGGTTGCCAGTTGCCAATTTCTCTAGATTGCACATGCACTCCCATACTAGTATGGAGTCACAGGTACAGGCTATAGCGCCTTTAGTGCAGGTTGACTGTCTGTGAGGGTGTCTATTTTTGCATCCTTCTTACTCATTGGCATAGACCTCTGATTGAAAGATAGATTCGGCCACCTCATATATTCCTCTCTCAAGAATTGAGAGGTATCCTACTAGGTTCGTCGGTTTGAACCACTTGATTAATTGCAATTGCAATTCCATAGCGCTTCCCATCTCTCGCTTGGGTTGATTGAGCGTCCTGACCATTTTGGTATGAACACCACATTTACCTTGTGCCACGTTCTCGGGTATGTAAGTGAAACAGAAGCTCGCTCTGTATCGTTTACGGTATGCGCCCAACAACCTTTTGGAAGAGTGGTACCTGGTCTTCTGCATCTATCTGTCGAAGAGAAGCCTTTACTTTTTGCTTTGAATATAAAATTATTCAAAGCTACTTGTGAGCCTGGAAAGAATGCTCATGAAGAACTCTAATGTTTCCCTGTTACACTCTCACTGTGTATTTCCAATCGGATTTCTTAAGATTCCCAATGCAGTTGAACTGGTCTTTTTGTAGGCGTGATGCTGTTGATATCGAATCCATTCCTTCACAGAATTTGTGCCAAGTCCTTCACGCTGCTCGGACACTTATTAGTTATTACTGTACCCTTTCCATGTTTCTTCACGCCTCTGCCGTTTAGATTTGTTGAATAGCTTTCTGACTTTATCCCGATGTTTTTCTAGCTCCTCGCACTCCACCAAGGGTACGTTTCTCGTTAAACCTTTAGTTTTTGTGATCCCATCTAGGTACTCCTCATAGGAGTTTTTCAGTTGTGGTACCTTGATTGTAATTGACTGTATCACAGAAACGCGATTTTATCGCCTATGGTGTTTCCCCGACTGAGCTCCATGGCCGGACGACGCGTTCGCTAGTTGGGCGAGTTGTTCCTTTTGGCCTTTGGGATTTGGATGCCTGACACTACTATCTTCTTTCTTTCTATAAGAAAACTTTTTTTCTGGGTCGATCTGAGACAATTTTTTCTTCGGGGCTCAAAAAAGGCAGTGTATTACCTTCCTTTTTTCCAAAAATCGACTACACCAAAAATTCTCGGGAAAACACTTTTTCTTATTAATTTGGGTACGTAGAATCCAAATCAATTCGTACTTTTTCGATCAGACTTCTCAATCAAAAGTTATAGACTAGAAACCAATTTCGAAAAAAAATTCAAAGGCCTGTAACTTTTGAACTAGTAGCCCAATCTTGGAACTGTTTGAAATTATGGATTCTACAGGCCACATTCGATAAGAATATTTTTTCCAGGTCGATCTGAGATAATTTTTTCTTCGGGGCTCAAAAAAAGACAGTGTAGATATTACCTTCCTTTTTTACCAAAAATCGACTACACCAAAAATTCTCGGGAAAACACTTTTTCTTATTAATTTGGGTGCGTAGAATCCAAATCAATTCGTACTTTTTCGATCAGACTTCTCAATCAAAAGTTATAGACTAGAAACCAATTTCGAAAAAAATTCAAAGGGCTGTAACTTTTGAACTAGTAGCCCAATCTTGGAACTGTTTGAAATTATGGATTCTCCAGGCCGCATTCTATAAGAAATTTTTTTTTCCGGGTCGATCTGAGACAATTTTTTTTCGGGGCTCAAAATTATTAGGTAACACGTTTCTCAAATTGGGGTTGATGTTAGGTTGTTAAAAAATTCTGTTTTAATTGAAGTGTTTTATCAGTAAAGCTTCGAAAGACAGAACCACGTACCGACACCCCCACTTACTCGTTTCAAATGTCTGCTCATCTTCGCTAAACTAGCGCCTGTGTTTACTGCGGCGAACCCCAAATCAATTAGCTTTTACGACGCTATCACGAACTCCTTATCGCAAGACCAGATTTAAGTGAGATAAACTTTAAAAAACATAACGCAATTATTTCCAGATGTCCCTAATATTTCTTAACTTAATCTACAGGGAATCCGCGTTAAGCTAACGCACTAGCAGAATGCGCCGCGGTGGTGCAAGTTGAGCGGCAAATAATGTATCTAATGGCGGCGTTAATACTTAAATAGTAGAATTTTGGCTGATGGTGGCTGAAAAATATGTATATGAAGTTGCTAGAAGATGACTGCGCGCTGGTGCATCAGCTGAACGCGGTCTAATACAAAACAAAGTTGACCTCAAATTCAAAAATAATCGAATGCAATCCAAATTAACAACCACATTTAACTTTCCAAAAATTGAAATTTACCTCATAATTACTATATATGCTGATACCAATAAAAACCACAGATTTTTGCCTCAATATGGACTTTGGACAATACAAGGCAAAAAGAAGGTGGATATCGTAGCTAAGAGGTACGTATTTTAGAATGCATTCTTTATATAGCAACATATTACACCCCAAGTATCTCAACAAACTCAATTGCGTTTATTTTTATTTCAAGCAAGGTGCTTTTCAATTCTATTATACAGGGTGTGACAAATAAATACCTAATATCTAAAAAGGAGTGGAGGTCAAAGGTTCCAAAAATTTGTTTCCTTTTTCATTTTTGCTTCGCCAAGCGAACACTCGTTTCTCCGTTCTGGCAATGTCTAATTGTTTATTGGTCAATGCCAATTTTGTACTACCAAGCCCACATGTTTTTTTTAATTCCCACGCAAATGAAAAGTGCAAACTTCGTAGTTCTCAAGCCCAAGGTTTTAATCGCATATGCCCCCGATGTTAACGCCTACAGTACTTAAGGACACACCGAGGGACAGACGTACAAACTTTTATATGGAGGCCGTAGAGAAATATTTTTTTAAAATTTATTTTTCAAAGAGGGCAATGGTAACATGTTACAAATTGTACCTATCAACTTCAGAGCATTCTTGTTGCCCTTCCTAAAAATGCAGTTCGAATTTTTGGGTAAAAAACCCTAATCTCGAATTGAGATCTGAATTTTTTGCGCCCTCGTTTAGGGGTGCCGCATCTTGGAGTAGAAATGTTATACAGAGAGTCATTAGTTACCTACTCAAAACCTATGTTGAGCCACTAGGTTCAGTCTCTATCTGTTAAGGATAATTTACGATAACATTGATAAGGAATTGTCACTTCACATTCAGGTGTTTTTTACAATGCAAGGTTACGCCTACGTAAATACATCTGTGGTACAATACATGTAATTGTAAAATTGTTGCGTGTGAAACTTCCCGTTTATTATCGATTCGATATGCACTTAGATTTGTTATCATTTCTAAACATACACGAAATGTTTAAATAAATTCTAGTTTATAGAACTTTAAAAATGGTTTATTCATACTGATGAGCAAACATTTAAAAGAGGACATGAGTACTGAAGATTTGAAAGCCTTAAAGGCACATGGCTATGTTTTCGACAGTGATTCAGTGAGTGGAGGCAGTAAAAGTGATTTCGATGATGACTATTACGCATTAAAACCAGATCCGGTGTTGATTGATCCGTCTTTATATACCATTGTATCGATCTCGTGCAGAACTCAAGAACTCAATCCTTCACCGGAACCAACTAGGAAAACCCAGCGGTCCTTTTCCAAGAGAGGAAAAAGAGGAAATCGTCCAATTACTCGTGCTAGTGATTCTCAAAACAGTTCCGTAAGTAAAGAATGGAATACACTACCCTCGTGCTACACAATTGATCCACCCTGTTTTGACTTGGCCGATAAAGAAAATGTAGTCATTGGTGAAGTCGAAAATGTTCCGCTACCTCTTGTCAACACCCCTCGCAATGTTTCTGTAGCTAACAAAAAAGGAAAAGTGGTCACCTCACGTGCAACCTCTACTTCATCCCAACGTCGTACCAGTTTGAAGAAAGAAAATGTTTCAAACAATTTTGCAGTTTCCACTGTTTCGCAAAGGGTTTCTGAAAGGGCACTTACTCCACCTTATCACAAAATTACCTTACCAACTAGCACCACTAACACTCAGAATGTACAACGCCACACAGTTCGATCGTCATCAAGCAACTTGAATACAGGAGCACGAGCACCCCGCAACACGAACAGCATAACTACTACCTCTGCACCATCACATCGTACCAATACTTGTGTGGATATCCCTTACAGGCAAATGCGAAATAATTCAACTCCACCAGAAGAAAATGTCAGTGATTGCCCGGGCTGCTGCTGCTGTCAATGATTTTATTTTGTTATGTATTTCAAATTGTATTGTTATGTAACTATTTAAAGAAATTATTTTTATACTTCTACGCTACGTAACTTCTATATTCCACAGTTCTTACCAAGCATGTAAACCACTATGCACACATTTAATATACCTACTCTCAAAAGATGTTATTAAATAGTTGCTTTAAAGACGCTAGAGATCGCCGAATAGGTGCTATATAACTAAATCTGGTAAGCAGTTCTGATACGGCGATATCCTGCTTTTGATAGCCTTCAGAAGTGCTTTCCAAAGATCTATAAGTTCTGGAAAGCATTTACAAGGCTCCAAGAGAGTCTTTCATTGTTCTGGAAAGCAGCGCTTTGGGAAGTTCCTTATGTGTCAGCCAGAGATACGTTATCCCTTTATTATAGGAGTATTATATGCTCTTTTTACAACGTTCTGGGTCTTCCAGAGTTAGAATTATTTGGAACGGGCCTAGAAACTCTTGTAAAGAACCTGTACAGGGCCTATAAATCTGACTGGGCAACACTAGAATTTTTGTAGTGCCGTAAAAGATGTGTGAGGGCGATAGAATGTTTTGGAAAGGCCCTGTGATAAGCGTCTGGAGGTTTTCTGAAAGCCTTTGATTGCTATATGGGAACGCACCCGAAGACTTTGAGGAATCATGTTTCCCATACCATTAGGAGGTTTTAACTCCTTTTTCCACAGGGTTTTTCCTTTAGAAATTTACACCTTTTCCAAAACTATTTAGGTCGTTAATTTGAGGGTCCCTTAATTCTCGTATAGCTTACGCACCGTCCGGCAACGATCCATGAATAAGAAAGAATCAGATAAAGCGAAGAATCAGACTATTAGGTACTTCCCTCACGGAAACAGTTGAACCACTCGCACAGAAAAATCAAATTAGATGACCCCCCTTTCGTATAGCTTTTACGCACCGTACGGCAGCGGGCCACGAATAAGAAAGTAACAGATTCACTGAAGAATTAGGTACTTCCTGGACGGAATAGTTAAATTCAATCTAGCAGAGTAACATCACACTGCTAATAAACTAACTCGTAATGACAAAAATAAACGAATAATCACCTTTTCGGCATCTGCACAGAACGGTTTAATTCAAAAACGTAGCACGATTCGCTATATACAGAGCATGTCGTATTTTTGTTTCAGATGTAAAGGTGTTTTGCCTACCAATAGGGGTTGATTATCACAAGCATTTGAAAGGTTTTCTTCTACTCGCTTTCCCACCTCTTTGCAATCACGTCTAGAGTTAGACGACCTTGTGTCGAATTCGAAGACTTCATGGTTGTTGTATGCACAGAGCGTTTCGTAGTTTTTCGAGACTGTCATTCTTTCAGTTGTGAGGTGCGTTGCGTAACCATAGAGGTATTGTACCATTCTATTAAAAAATTGGATAAAGAAGAAAGATTTGTAGCCCAAATTCGTACATTTTTCCAACAGATTTATTTGAAAGGAAATTTAATAATCACTTTCTAGAGCCATTTTTGGCCTCTATCTCATTCGGTACAAATCCAATATCGCGTCCATAAGAAATAAAAAAGTAGGAGCCTGTAGCTTCTACATCTGCGTGCTATGGAAATTTTGATAACAAATTCAGATTCTCCGAGAAAAAGTGCCCATAGAGTTAGGGAAAATGAAATCGAAATTTGACATTTTCAGTGATCTCAGTTATTTTCAAAGATTTGTCAAAAATTTCAAAAGCGTTTTTAGTCATAAAAAGGGGAACTTTGTCCCCATTTAACCTACACGGTATCTCTCACAGTTTAGAGAGATCCCAATGGTGATCCACGAATTTGAGCCACCCTGTACATAAAAAAAACAAAATCAAAAAGACATCGCTCTACTGCAGCTCGGCTACTATTAGTTTAGCATGAACAGTACATGTGCAAATGCTATCAGTCTCCAGTCGATCAAACAGCCTCCTTGGGCTAAACCGAAGAAAAGTTAGTTAGCGGGCCCACTTTCTCGTATTGCAAAGACACAAGAGATGAGGAAGCAACATGATACAGCGAAAAATTGGAACAGTATATGAAGTGAAAACTCATCCTCGCGATTTTTGTACAGAGCGTTTCGTATTTTTCACATCTTTCATATGTAAGCTGTGTTGCCTAACCGTAGGGGTATATCAGCACAGTAGATGCTTTTCTTGTACTTTTTAGAGCAACAGCAAATGTTGTATTGTTTTTTGAAAAGAACATGTAAGGATGTTGAATACTCTGTAAATAGAGCTTTCGCAAAACTAATAAAGTAATGTTTGGGCTGTAACCATCATCAAATGGGGAAAACATGTTCAGTAGAAACATTCCGATATTACTGTCCTATAATTATTTTAACTTTTTATAAATTGCATCTGCAGAACTTCAGACTGTTTATTTACTCTAGCTTTCGCTGCATATTCGATGGGTTAATAAACAAATTATCAAAGTCCTTGTGTGAGATCGAAGCGACTTCAGCCCATGTTTGTGTGGCAGATCAGATTAATCAGTTCTAACCACCATCAGTAAGATCTTGTCAGGGTAACCACTTTCCCTTTGTCGGTACCCGATTCCACCAGCAATTCGCATTTTGGTTGATTTCGCTAAAGACTAAAAATACATTTTCAAAAATGAGATAAAAAATGAATGATTATACTAAGTGCCTCTATGAAGCTCTATTATCACAATAAATAATACTACTAAGATAAGGGATTTTTAAATGACATTAGTATATTGTTGCAGTTTCTATTTGACTTTAGTTAAGAGCGCTTCTAGTTTTGATATGATTTCAGAAAACCATTTAGTATTAACAGAGCATTCATCGGCCAGTGAATCAGGTCCAAGCGATTTGGACGAGTATCATGATTCGCTGAAAACCCCACATATACCAATAGCAGAGATTCCATCGGCGGCGGGTAAAATAATTAGAATTCAACCAGACGCACGACTTGTGGAGAAAGAAAATTTAAGATTAAATTTACGTGACATAAGTGCAGGTGGTACTGGCAAGAAACAATCGCACAATGCACACAATTCAAAGAAGCAGAAAAAGAGAAAGAAGAACTTACCGCCATCGCGTCAAGCGAGCAATGATAAAAGACGTAAGAAGGCAAAGTCGAAGAAAAGTACAAGAAAGGAAAGGAAAAAGAAAGACAGAAAAGTCGACATGGGCAGCAAGCACCAAAGCTGGAAGTGGTCAAACACGGCACACGAAAAAGGAGCCTCTGCTAACAGATTCAGTTAACAATCAGATATCTAATCAAGAGGAGTCAAAATGCAAAAAACCTCGTAGGGGTCACCGGCGCTCATCGTCCGTAAAAGCGGTACGGGATGAAACGATCTCAAGGCAATCTTTAGATGAAGAGCACGAGCCAAATGAAGACACAGTGATTACTAAACAACCTTCAAGATCTGATACATCCACAAACACTGCGCCCAGTGTCATACAAGGTTATGGCTCAATCGAGCCTACTAACATGGCGATGGATAAAAATGGCTTGTTAAATACTATATCATCTTTTTTCTGCTGCAAACAGTTGTGAAAGTGCTAAGTGCTTTCTCGATTATTTCTTTTCCGATTAATGTCATCAATGGAATTGTTTCCCATTACCTAATGCTTATATGCCTAGTGCAAAAATGTTTAGATAAACTGTGTAGATAATACCAGTGCTAGAAAAATTCAATACAGAGACTTTTATCGTAATCGGTTTTACTAGGACAACCATTAATGAAGTTTAAGCCAAAAATGTTTAGCTCAGAAAGTGATTCTTGTGGTGTTTTTATGAATTTGATCCATTAACCCATTTTTGTAGTACAATTTGAGATGTTTTATTTGGGAATTTTTCTCTTATCCATTTTGTTGTCGTAGTTGATTTATTTCACGTATTTGTATGGGCTATGCCTGGGTTTTTGTCCCGTAGAAGGTTTCCCTGGTATTGCCTTGTTGTGTGCGTAATATATTTTATTTGTTCTTGTCTTTTCTCACACACAAAATTCCCCATTTTATTCAATTCCCCTTCCGATTATGTCTCACACGTCTCAACACATAAAAGAACCGATTACACAACGTACGAGTTCATTCATGCCATCCATAGCGGGCCGATTGGCTACGTCGTTTGATTGCAGCTGAACCTTAGATAGATTAGGTTCTATAATAAACAAAATCAGATTACAAAACTTTATTATACAAAAATAAAAATAGTTCCTTAAACAATCATCTGTAACTAGAAAACGCGATCTTGATATCCACCGTCTTGTATTGCAGATGTTGTTGGTCTTTGATTTGCCATGGTATGATGAGGTCGGGTACGTCTCGGCGGTGCCAGAAACTCAAACATACTCTGCGAATGTTGTCCCAACATCTTTCCCAAATCGCAAGGCATCGGATCAGTCCAAAAAAAATCGTGATTTAACGCGGTATCGGCGTCGGCCCGCTTCGAAGGATCCAGCACTAATAGCTTATCTAAGAGATCGCAGGCGTACGCGTCTCTCATGTAAGGTTTCAGGCGATCCTTCACTTTACGCTTTTGTTGTTGTGGTAAGTCCATCTGTTTGTACAACTCTAAATGTTCGACGCCCGGCCAGACGGCCGGCGTGATCGAGCCGCACAGTTGCGAAATGAGCGTAAGCTGCTGCTGCTCCGTATTACCCTGCATGATCGGCGATCTCGTCCACATCTCCGCCATAATACATCCGGCGCCCCACAAATCGACGGGGGGGCCGTAATTACGTTCGCCTAATAACAACTCTGGTGGACGATACCACAGTGTCACCACACGATTTGTAAATCTAAAAGAATAATGTTACAACTAGACTGCCTTCGCACCTTCAGACGCAGTATGGGGTCTTATGGACTAAATCCCTTCTAACTAATTTAGGTAATTTTTCGATAACGCTATCCTTGTTCCTCACCGAACTATCATTATGATTGAATTGAAGTATTAAAAGCATAATCTCCTTGTACTGCCCCCGCACGTATATTATTAATAAGTTTGAGAGCATGCACTGTATATGCATATAACAATGCATTATTATTATATTAATCTCACCACAATTTGTTTCCTCTATTTTCTTACAGGTTAAAACTTAGTGCTTAAATTTAGAGCACATCGTTCATGTTTCAGTTGAATATAACTAAAAGTAACTGTCATATAACATTTAACCCAAACATGAAATCTCAATAACCCTCAAATAGAAATACAAGGGCGAACCGGGTCTCATGGTCGGTCGCCACCTCGCCGTGACCTTGGAAAATAGATCAAGGCGAGGCTCAAGGGCATTCGACCCTTCCCCCAAACACTGTACTGATGGTGACCTTGGAAAGTAGGCCAAGAAAAGCTCAAGGAACGTTCCTCTCCAAAGGTCAATCACCCCATTTTGTGGTTTCTTTTTAGAGGATATCAAAATTCAATTACTATTACTCAAACTTTTTGCAGCGTCATATTTTAATTTCAAGGTCATCAGAGGTCGATTGGCCCTATGTTTCGCGGTGTCGTATTTCATTTCCAAGCTCATCAAAGGTCTAACTTTAGTGGCGCCATGTTTCATCTTCAAGGATATCAAATTTCAATTACGTACGTTTCTTTAGCGGTGTTATTTTCCATATTGAAGACCAGAAGTCAATGACCCCATTTTGTATGGTGTCATTTTGTTTTCAATGTTATCATGACACAATTTTTGCGGTGACTTATCAAAGTTCAATGACAGCATTTTGATTCAGAGAAGGCTGTGGAAATGTTAGGTCACGTCTAATATTAATTTTAAGTAGGTTGGTATTAGAACTACCTACTCATGCAGTAAAACTACCTACTTACTCTTGTCACTGAAAGGTAACAATTACACATGATCGATATGTCTATCTCTCTTGTCAGAGCCAACTGTGGATCACATTTTTGGCCTACTGTGACTCATTATTGGTGCATATAATATGCATATAAAGATTTAACTTTTTTTATTGAAACATAAATGAGTAAATGATTTTTAAAATTTGATACATATATACATGGTGCTTCAAAAATCCACTGTGACTATTTTAAAAGTTTCACTTAACAGTGCAGGGTGACCCAACGATCGCGCGGAGTACTCTTATGGCCCTAAGGATTTGTCGAGATTGTACTTGTGTGATAATAATGGTCGAATATTCCGCATATTTAAAAATATTTTTAATTATACAGGGTGCGATCACAAAGTAAGGAGTCAAAAAGATAAATTTTTGTAATGGAATTTGGTTCGAAATTCTACGCCTTTTTTAATACTTGATTTAAAAAATTTTTGGAAAAATTTGGAATTAGGTATCCTAAAAAATCTTTTACCACCCACACATTAATAAGTGATGTATTGCATCAAACTCTCATTTCCGGCTGAACCGATTGAAACCAAATTTGGTACACAAGAGCAGAATCGCGCATGCGCAAGTGATATCTATGCTAACCATCGCAATTTTTAATCTTAAATATTGACTTCAGACTTCATATCATTTACTTCGACTTTAGTTAGTCCGCTAAACGAGTTAAACAATTTTATATTTGTATATCCCGGTTTTTTGTAATGGAACAGCCTATACATTTTCCTGTCATCCTTTTACTTAAATGCAATAATTTTTAACCTTCATTATAAGTGTTATACCTATTAAAACCTATACCTACCTACCTAATAATAAATGAAAAGACTGTGGTGAGATCAAGCAAAAATTCATTGTTCCCAACACATATAAGTAGTAAATACAGTGTGGTCTTTAATTAGTTCTAAATATCGTCAAATGTTGATATATGTTTGATATCCATTTATATGCAATTAGAATGACTTCCAGCATAAAGTAAACAACGTTGATTACTCTATGCTTCCAGTCATACAGTATAAAGGATAGGCTAAAAATATAAAGTTCACTCAAGAATAGATACCATATTTTCTAAGAATATAACAAAATGGAATAATCAAAAATTTTCCAAAAAAAATAAAAATCTGAATACTTAGGCCATGATTTTATACTTCGGTACAACGTTCCATTCTGAACAACTTTTCTCAATGGCATTTTGCTATATTCTTAAAACTTATGATACTTGTCTGCCCCGTCTTGTATACTGTGTGACTTTAAGCAATTGCATACAAAATGGTAAATCATTCATTGACTATTTTTTTAATTATTATAATGGATCGAGTTACCTGTTCGGTTGACCATTTTTATTGGCACTAAAAGCACGAGCCAAGCCGAAATCTGCCAGCTTCAGAACACCATTCTTCGTTATAAGTACGTTGGCAGCCTTCATGTCCCTATGTAAAATTTTGTTACTGTGAATATAATACAAGCCGTTTAATAACTGCTGCATAACTTTCTTAATTTCGCCTAAATTAAATTTTACATTAGCATTTGATAGGAGACCGGCGAGGTCGTGCTCGCAAAACTCGAAAACAAGGTAAAACGTCGACAAGCACTTATTCTCTTGGCATGCCCGTTTGTGGCAAATTTCAATCAGCATTACTACGTTCTCGTGCTTAAGCCTTTGCAAGATGCGTATCTCGCGTAAGGCTGTTATGGGGAACTAAAAGTAGGTAATCAAATTAGTGTTTTACACGCTAAATTGATTACACCAACCCCCTCTTTTTCGTTCTCCATCAGAACCTTTTTCATCGCCACCAACTTCTTTGGATTTGCTCTCTCTTTCGCCTTGAACACTTCTCTACAATATGCATGTAGTGCTCAAAGTTTCAAATGTAAGTAAGAAATTACCCGAAAGTTCCTTGTCCAATTTTCGCAACCCTTTCGTATTTTGCCGAAACATCGCAGAAGGGAAAGCGAAAGTTTTCGATATACTTCTCTTTCTCCTTCAGTGTCATCCCCGGATGGGAATGACTTTTTTCACGAGGCTGCATTTTTATTGCTAAAGATCACTCAATCAAGCTTTCTTATAAAATTTCATTTCTGTGGACATAACCTTAAAAAATAAATAAAAATTACGTGACTACACTACCTTCACAAGATGAACGAATTGTGGTGGCTATTGTACCGACTGCTATTGCCCTACACTTCCCAACATACAGAGCGGTTCATATGGAAGAACTTCTACTATTAATATGACAAAAAAAATATTACCTCCTCTTTAAACATTTTAAATTAAAAATGAGATCGTGTGTCCAAGTTCTTTGAAACGAATTTTAATTCGTTGTTTATGAACAATTTTTTGATTTTGGTGCACTCATAACTAAGGAAATAAATTTTGATCCTATAGTTTTGTCATGGAGACATTATCAAAATTTTAAATCTTTAAAATTAATTTTTCCAGTTATGAACAGAGATTACAGATTAGAATGTTTAAGAAAGTCCTATAAGTTTTCTTGATCCTTACCATGACTAGTATCTTTCAAGTCTTAGCCGAAGGGTTCTGGTTTTTGTATTTTTCATCACCTGCACCCCGAGTATCCTTTCCAGAGCGGCCGAGCGCTATATTCTAAGTAATTTTCCAAAACTAAGAGAGTCCAGTAAATTCTCAAAGCTCCAGCTTTCCAAATCTTCTTACACTTTTTCTAAAACCTTTCTCTAGCTTCGGCTACCTGAGAACCAATCAAAAGCTCTAAGCTCTACCACTACTGTCTACAATACTATATAGAACTTCTGGTCCCGGAAAGCAGTTGGGAACTTAAGAACCTTTTAATCAAGTTACAGTGATTTGCTTGACACAGCATTTTAACACTCTACTCCCTTAGCTTTTTAGTGCATTTGCAAATCAGGTCAGTTTATCAGAAACAAGTCTGTTCATCAGAAACAGGTCTGTTCACCTGAGACAGGTCTGTTTCTGTTTATTTAACCGATCTGTTTCGGGTTAAGTGACCTGACCCATTAGCAATAACTTTTAGCATGGGGCTAATGACCTAACCGCATGCACAGATCTCAAGATCAAAGTGCGAGATGAATCCCGTGTTACAACTTTCCTGCCTCGTGCGCGGTTTTGTTTATGCATTTTATTACCAATTTAAAAAGAAACAATTAGAAAGGAGAAAATTATCATTTGTATCCAATCTCGCACCCCAGACCAACTGCCGAAAATATAAGACTTCCAGTATAATTACCGGGCCAACTGGCGAAACATACGAATGAACTCAAAGCACCCTAAATATGACCCCGCGCTCCGGGCCAACTGCAACAATTAGGAGATGGGCCATTCAGATTATTCCCATGCTCTCCAGAATTTTTCCACCGTCAAGTGCCGAAATATCTACTCATCTTCCCCTCCCCACCTGCTGCAAAAAGCCGTAAGTTCACGACGTTACGGTTTTGCCAGCCGACAAATACAAATAGCCAACGAATTTATTATATAACTCTCGCCAAGAAAGATTGCCGGCCACAGCACACCTTGTGTTGATCTGCAATCTATGTTTTTCTTAAGATACGAGCGACTTCCGGAATAGGATCGTGCCAATGTTGAACGAAAAGTCTTTTTGTTCAACATTGACATGGTACTGTCCCGGAAGTGACTCACATCTTTAGAAAAACATAGATTGTAGACCAGGATCAAGTGTTCTGTGACCACAAATCTTTCCTGGCAAGAGGTTAATATTATTATGTAACAAATTTTTAGTTAACATTTGATGGAATTCTTAGCACGAAATAGAAAAATTTAACATGAAAACTCTTATCTAGGTCGTAATTTGGCCTCGAGTAATTACTATTTACAGATGAACAAATTTATTCGATATTAAACAATCAAATAATTTGGACGAAAAACAAGTACTCAGGCTCAGAATAACACATACCGCGCAACAAACGATCGATTAACCATTAATTAAAGAAGAGGTTCAATTTGATTTAATGCAAATAGTATGACAAATGTTGTTTATCCTGTGGATGTTCTGAAATACAGTTTTGATGATTTTGGTTGTCCCGCTGTTGAAAAATAGCCAAATGCCAAATTTCGTCGGGATTTGTTCGAATTCCCCTTAGGACTGGCTATTGATTGGGTAAGAATTTTAACAAAAACGTAAATAGCATATTTCAAAACCAAATAAGATACGCAAATTTTGGAACCTTTCGAGATGTAGCTCCCCAACGAAACATCTTGGATCTTTGGCATTTCTTTGGTCTCCCTGTATATGTCATTTTAAATTTGGTATGCATTGTAAGTTGAATTACAGCTATTGTTTGTCGTTAATTGAACTGCCGTAAATAGTTGTCCATACAGCGTTTTTTTGAAAAGAAGTGACCAAAGAACTTTTCGAACACCTCCTCATTCCATGCACTCATAATAGTTAGCAGTACGTTTTGTTTGGAATATTAAAGATATCCTATCAACAAAATCATTTACATTTCCAATGTGAACAATGTGAAAATTTGTTGATTTATCTCTTTAATGTTGGTTTCTTTTGTAAATTTAGTTAGTTGGTAACTGGTTAATTAATTTAATTCTATTTGTTGCATTTAGTTTGTATCATAAATTTAAGACGGGAAACTTAGTATTAATGGAAATTTTTGCGCGAATTTTATCTTGATAAAAAGTTGTTATCGGACAAGAATTTAGGTAGTTGGTTTTTCGACGAACAATGTCACGTGCGAGATAAGCGATTCAGGTGGTTATCGGTTCTGGTGGCGTAGATGGAATTTCTAGTATCGTCGGGAATAGCCATGTTGATTTTATTAGAGGTGGTTTATGCTTAAATAGCAAAAATTAAGAATAGACGGGACTCGGCTTATTTTGAAAGAGAGCGTATTTGTCTGTGATGCTTATTTTGATACCTGTAATCCAGCCGACTGTGCACTATTATAAAATATAAAAAGTAATCGTTCTATTACTTAAAGAATGCAGAAACAAGTTTAATGCTATGAAGTTTTTACTCATGATATTTCAAATTTAAAAAACTTGTGTATAACAATAATGAAGAAATAATTGGTGTAATACCTATAAGAGAAGTCTTACCATCCGCGCAATAACAAAGTGTTATTGTTTTCGAGCCAGTTGTGGTGTTTTAAAAGCGAGTTTTTTTGCCATTGTTATAATATGCGACAGGCCGCACCCAGGGGCTGGGGGCTTAAGTTCCTCCCCAAAGGATTGCGAAAAATAAAAAACTCTATAATCGGACGTTATTCACATTTACAAAATAACTTCTCGGAAAGCCAAAAAAACTCAACATTTTGTTCAACATTTTTTCATAAAAAATTGTTCCAAATTATTCCAACCCCCTCTCTTATAATTATCCTGGATCCGCCCCTGACTACTCTACCCCTATTTTGGACAAAGTACATATTATAATAGAATCATTGAAGAAGTATGGAATTATGAGGTATTATGTACTTCGTCGGCGAATTGTGGTTGTATTACCTATACCTTTAAATAATATAATAATAATATTAAGCATAGTTCAATATCCATGACAACCATTGTCACGAGTCACGACAATCGTTGCCATTGATTTTAATTTTAAACAATCTAAGTTTCACGATGCAAACGGCCGTAAATCGCTTACAAAAAAATATCAAGGCCTCAACTATTAGTTTAGCAATATTAATCAAATACATTTTATTCAAAACATGTGTTAATTTCAATTTTATTTTATCTCTAGGTACTGACGTTACCGCCAGGAACCGACTACGTCCGAATCAAAATCTGTAGCCGGTTGTGATGCTCCGAACGTGTTCCATTTTTGTAAAAGGCGTTTGCAATTGCAGCTTATCACTGCGAGAAGTTTATTTCGTTCGCGTTTACGATGTACTACGTTTGTACAGTGTTTTATCGTTTACATTTGAATCGACTATTTGTGTATTGTGCTTATAAATGGAGGAAAAGGAAACTCTGGACCCCAAAAGGAAAATCGAAAGGTTAGTCAATCTTTGCCACTACCTACTTATAATGGTGTAAGAGATGGGGGTAATTTTGGACACGCAGCATCGCTACTTAAATCCGTTTTGTAATTATATTCACTTTCGTGTCCAAAATTATTCCGCCAGAATCAGAAACGCAAAGAAAAATTGAAAACTTGAACACAATATCTTTGCCACGTAGCAACATCTGCCGTGAGTGACGTCAGACGTGGCATGATCGCATGCTGCGTTAATGGCGCAAACGTCGTAATTACATAGGTACAATACAAACTACTATGACTTTTGGATGCAATCCAGAAGTAAATTATAAAACAAAAAAAGAGATAACCAAAAACGTGCAGCAAAATAGTAAGTAGATTAATAAGTTAAACTTGGGGTTATCCTAAAGGTGGATTAGCTCAAAATTCGGCCCTAGACTACAATAATCTGCGTACCACCCCCCTCACTCATCCCCCATTCACCAACAAGGGTTTATTATTTCATTATTATTACATAAAGGTAAATTATATCAAATGTTGCCTGGATCAGTTCCTAATAAAAATTCCTATTTGACATTGAGAAAGAAAATTTAGGCAAAACCCTACACTGCATTAACCCCTTGATAATGGTCACAAAACGTAATACACCCCATCCCCTAATTTATCAACTTTGCGTTACAGTATATCCAATGTTGCCTGGCGCTATTTTTAATAAAAATACACTTTTGACATTAATGACCGTTTGCACCGACAAATTTAAGCAAAGCTTAGCTTAAGCGTAGCTTAAAATCCATGGCAACCATTGTCTCAATAATCGTTGCCATGGATTTTAAGCTCTGCTTAAATTTGTCGGTGCAAACGGCCATAAGACCTGGTAAACTTCAGATTAGTTTAACTGACAGATTTCAGAAACACGATTGGTCAACTTGTGAAATATTAGTCAATCAAATCCTTCAACCCACAATTTAGCTATAAATTGAAGTTTAAAGTGACATTGTACCACTGGGCAAAATTTAGACAAAAGTCAAATACAACCCCTTAATCTACTATACCCTTGACCACTTTAATAAAATTTAATCACTTATAATTGCACAAGAGGTTTGTATTTTACCGAGTAAATTTGGGTTGTTAAGGTAATGAAAATCTGTTGCCTGCCTAGCAATTAGACGAGAAAAACTGTCAACTAATAAAAATGCGACACCGAAGGTGGAGCATGTTTAGGTTGACAGTTTTTCGAGTTATCGATTTATTTTCGCGTCGCTAATTACCTACAGACTCAATTTTACATTAAAATTTAGAGGTTAGCCTAATTTTTAGCGATGTCATTCATTTACGAATGATACAAATTTACGCGAGGGAACATTTTCGAATTGGAGACGGGCTCTTCACATAGAAACGGAATTAGATGTTCTTATTTTTTGTAAAACAGACTTTTCTTCGTTGGCGTCGCTAACGGTAACTAAAACGCGATAAATAATACTTTGTACACAACATCATTCGGCAGAAAACTTAAAAGACGATTAATTTGTGCATTTACTCACACCATAAAACTTAATTCATTGGGAAAAATTGAATATCAGCGGAATTTTGGCGTTTTATTCTAGTGCTGATATTGTTTAAAAAGAGCGGCATTTTTCCAGGGAGAGAGAGGTTCAATTGTAACCTGAAAGTAATCTCGTCCACGTCAGTTACTGTAAGTTGTTTTGAATTTTTTGCATTGTATACATTTTTAGGAATCGACCTATGAGAACCATTTTCATAAAAGGATTCTGTATTGTATTTCATTCGTTGGCAAAAATCAGATCCAAGCAAAGGATTTTGGTTATTTTGTTTCAGTGATTGGGAATTTTATTTGCATTTTATTTCAGTGTTACCATTCCTTTGGTTGAATTCAGATTTTGTTTAGCATTGAGGAGGAGTTGTATATTTCCACAGAAGTATGTACCAATAATTTATTAAGTGGTAAAGGTAAAATTCTATAAGAATCAAATTTACCAGGGGCACGTGATAACGAAATGTGCATTGCATTTTTTATATTTCTTTTTTTATGAACCATGGTAATTGTCAGTATTCCGTTACAACGGCTGTATTTCATTCTTCACGACAACGCATCTTCTTCCTTTGTGCTTTCTTTTTTATGCCTTTTTTTTCAGGTATTCGTTTCAGTGTATTGGTATCCTCCTCTCTTTCATTTGCAGCCATTTTCAGTTCTCCTTCATACTTCTTTTTCACGCCACCTCTACGTTCACGACTTATTTACGCCTGCTTGTTCCATGCCTTTCTTTCTTTTATGTTTCGTTCCATCGTGTCACATTCTTTTGTCACTTTACACCACTTCGCTCCTATCTCATTCATATCCACCTCTTCAAAGGACCCAGTGCATACTTCCTTCTTTCCCCCTACTTTCACATTTTTTCTTCGCGCTTTCGTTGCGCGTTTTTCACACCGCCTTCTTTTCTCCTTCAAGTTTATGTCTTAAGCTTGTTCTTTTTTACGTCTTGTTGTTTGATTATTTGATTGGTACAATCAAGTCCTCTGCCTCTTGTTACACGAGTTATGTAACCCTGTCTCTATCAGCCCACTTACATGCTTAATTTAGGTCTTTCACAATTCGTTTACACTTACTTTCTTCACTCAAATAAGTATAAACAGAGACAATAGCTTTCCCTTTTTTGTTGCTGCATTTGCTATTTTTGCTTTTTTTCCGAAAGTAAAGCGAAGATGAAGCCAAACAACGTAGCAAGTGGGACGCAGCTACCCGGCAGCTGGTACTAACTATTTATCTTTGAATTTCGTTTAAAACCTTGCTATTATTTAGATTATTCGATGATATTTGAAGCGTGGCATAGCTCCAAGTTGTTTTACCATACCGTTATCTGAATCATGTTGTGTGATGTTCCTCTGTATTATTTGGTTTAACTATATCGGTAATGGAATGCCGCATACAGTTCGATTCACCGCAGTATATGTTGCTCCCTCATCTCGTGGCCGCTGCCGGACGGTGTATAAGCAATACAAGAAAGAGGGGTTCTCTAATTTGATTTTTTGAAATTCAGGTTTCAATTTAGATTCATTTATTAATCGTTACGGCATCTGTGTATTTCTTGTGCAAATTCGGTGCGGTTAATTTTGTTAGTAAAGTTTTCACTTCTTAGTTCTTTGTTCTACCGCTAGATCTCATACAGATTCACTATTTTAGATTTGTTTCTTATACTATTTGCGCACAGATTCGATCGTGACTTGTATGAAAGAAGATTTACGCTGCCATATTTTTTTGTCTTTGTCTTTCAGTGGGCGGGGTTTCAGCTCTGCCAACCCAAACCACTATATACATTTACAAATGTCCATGGTAGAACCCGGATTCGAACCAAAGACGCTTAATGCCGCAGTCTCTTTTGTATGTGTGCGTGTTGCAGTTGTATTTGAAAAAGAAAAGTGGCATTGATTTCCGGTTTAACCGGAAGTGTAACCGAGAATTTCAATCGCCCATCGGATAGATCGTAATCTCGCGTACAGAATTATATTCGACCATTTTTTCGAATCACGCCGAATAAAAGCGATATTGAGGTGACCCTATTATTCGAACACCCTGTATAGACAAGTGTAGTATAGGTAGACCGAAAAATTAATAATTACAATGACTAAAATTTGCGATTATGTACTATCAACGTTTTACTCTATGGTACTACAATCTGTGGTACTACGAAAGAAAAACACATACGTATACAGCAGGAGACGTTACCGAGTGATGTATCCACATGAGTACGACTTCTTCATTATCTTCTTTCGGCAATTGCTTTGGTTTTGTTGCATACGTTTATTTATTTGCGACTTTACACCAATTGGGGGCAGTAATACCTCAAGGTCCATGCTTCCATTAGGTCACTCACAAAACATTTCTAAGCAAAATTGAATGGGGGTATTGAAATGAAAGAAAAGCCTCCAGTAAGTCTAGGTCTTTTTTATTTTTGCGATACTATCTAAACTAATTAAATAAATAATTACATAAGTATTGAAGAGAAGTGTTCACATGCAAACCGGGCAAACCAGCACAGAAAACAATTATAATAAATGTAATAATCATTACGTAACGTTCAGCGTTTGTATAATAAATTAGTACAAACTTAAAGCGCTTGTATAAAATTAAAGTAAAGAGCTACTTTAGATCACATTTTGAGGTCATTTCACATTTGTCTTTCACATTTTTAGTTCACAGCACTAAAGCGTATTCAGTCAACTTCTCACATTGCACTAATCGTCCATTAACATCGTTAATGGATTTTTACCTGTCCGTGTTAGTCCAGGCGAAACTGTTGTTGCAACTGTAACAGAGACAGAAATTAAAAAATCGATTGCGACCAGTTGGGCCTTACCGTTATTGGAAACGTGTCTTTGCGTATTCAGGCAATCTAACCATTCGGTCATGCTGATCAGTCGATCCTTATTGATATCACAGTAACGCGGCAATTTTTTACCGCACCGTTTTAACGTCTTTATTCCCGCCATGACGTCCTTGAAGGTCTTCCACTCGTTCCTGTCCAAGACTTTGTTCTTGTTCTTGTCGAACACGACAAAACTCCACGTTGCGATTTGCTCCTCGCGAGACGCCTTCCATGTTGGGCTGTTTCTGTAAAATTGTAGATAAGTGACGGATTAGGGTTGTCGCCGCCGCCGGTTGCTAACTTACCCGGCGATATTAGTTCCGTTCGTTTCCTTCTGCATCCTTTGATGGAGGTATTCCATAAGGTCTTTTAGGAACGATTTCTTCTTGTCGTCGGGACAGCCCTTCATCGGACGAGTTGGGACAGGTATTTGGTCGCATTTCGGCGTCTGATTCTTCACTGATGTACCAGGTATATTTTTCCCTGTGTCTTCATTGACACACCAACAGTAGCCGGCCGATTTATAACATTGAATCTGCAATATTAGTGCCTATCAAACAAAGCCGATGCCGTGCAATGACAAAAATTGTTTGTTTTATTATAATTTACATCGTAATTTGAGGAAAATGGAATCCCAAAAACCTCATTTATAATTTGGATAAAAGACCTGACAGATAGAGGAGGAGGAGGAAAAAAGTCAGTCTTCCGCTGTTTTGGTTTAGGTGCGTTATTAGATCATTGTACTTGCGCTTAAATAAATTGTTACTACGAACACGTTAAGGTCCAAGGTGCGAAACATTCCGTTGCGCCAGATGTGTAGTGGCAAGTTACGAACAAAACCAGTTTATTAATCACAGTTGTGAACCTAATTTGTATATACAAGAAGTTATTAACATTATAAACAAAACGGCAACCGGTAAAAAAGTTAAAGACAATTAATTCGTACTTTTGTTGGCTGTCAAACCTTAAGTTATAAGGGTAATTTGGACATTTCATACTGCGGAACATTGATAATTTTTCCAATAAATAAACCAAATTAGAACTAAGAAATTGTGAGGAACCTGAGCACGGGTTTGGTCTGGATTCAAACTCGTCAACCATCTTTTGAGATTCGCTTTAAATGAGTAAACCAAGTTTTCATTTGGCGATATAAAAGTTCTATTGTATTGCAAAAAGGCGATCCACCATCCAATTTTCCAACTCGCCAACTGCCTTATTTTCATGTTGAAAAACCCGGATTAAGGGCTGAGATAATACCTACTATGTTTGAATGCTATGTACATATATAAAAAATTTGCAATATCAAACGTTACACTGAATTAAATTTTAACGAGTTAACAAAAGTTAATAAAAGAATCATGACAATGCGCGTCTACATGTGTCACATCAAACGACCACCCTACTCAATGGATTCGACTGGTCATCGACCACCCTCGTTATAGCCCGGACGTGCCCCCGGCGACTACCACTTGTTTCCTACTCTCAGTAGGGAAAAAACTGAGACCTTACTTTTCAAAGCATCCTCGTAGTTAAATTTATCATTAGGATTGCCTTCAGATAGATTTTTCAGGTGGGAAAGTTACATGGAATTGTTCATTTGATGAATTCTAACCTATAACGTTTGCATCATAAATTAATCAGACGATGTATGACTTGCACTTGACAGGACTTAAATGTATAATTCAGGTAACGTATCAATTTTGATTTTAATGGGATATTTAAAACAGTCTACAAGAACAAACACCATAATTATCAACTAGTTCTGCTTGAGTTTGAACATTTTCGCAACGTTAATTTAAAAAAATCATACACTGCCGGCACAAATTGGCGTTTCGACTTGGTTTTTGTCTGAAATTTTCTTATGGAATGAGTGGATTTCTTTGTATCAGTGGAAAATTTGTAGTTTTGGCTACCCAGAGGTTTAGGGGGGTGCCATTTGAATTTTTTTTTTAATTTGACATTTCACAAATTTGACAAAACTTAGCCGCCTGCGCGATTTAGTTTCTCTAAAAAAAATTCGATGATTTTATAATATAGCAAAATTTGCAAAAAAGGAACCAAATTCCTCTGCAAATTGTCTAGACTTAATAATAATAACTGTCAAATTTTGACGAAAAAAGGTTATAACAGCGAAATCGTTACAGTTAGGAGTATAACATTTACATAAAAAATAAGTACTTTTCAAGTACTCTCCAAATCAATAATAAAATATGGAGTGTTCCATTTAGAAAAATGCAAGTTTGATACGCCACTGGAATACAGCACGCTCCTGGCGATCAAAAATTTTAGAAATATGGCGGCGGTAATTTTGCACAATTTTGCTCTAAGACTTTTTTCGGTATCTTTTATGGTAAAGGAATTATGACCCGAGGGTTCTTAGGTGCTATACCCTGTATAGGCAAAACAAAAAATTTAAGTTTTATACAACGAGTTAATAATCTGAGGAGCAACTACAAGTCAACGAGTCAGTATGTAAAATCAACCCATTGGCGTACCGACCGACGTGGAGTTAACAGTTCAACCCTATACATCGTGGTACATCACAGACCGCACCATCTTTGGGTAAGAATTTGGAAAGGACATGACATTTCTAAAAACATAGGTAAAACCCCAAGTGTTATCCTAAATGCAAATTTTGATACTTTTGGAAGCTTAGCTCCCAGACGATACATTTTGGATCTTAAGTAGGAAAAAATGCTTGTTTTGGGCCCTGTTTTCTTGACACCCTGTATATGAAATTCTAAAATTGTGTACAGTGCCACCATGTTCAGAAAAGCCCCGGAAAATCGTGTTGAATTTTAGCGCATTTCCAACTCTGATCTTTGTCATTTTGGAAGGCGCTATTGGCCAGGTTCTCCGTCCGTCCGTCCGTCTGAGACCGCAAATACTTCTACAGTTTTCAGTAGTATATTTGGTTTGTTTTTTTGAATTCAATACCGAGGAAGAAAAATCTTTACGATTAATGTGCGCATGGAAAGCTTTTGGAAAGTACCGATGAATGCATGGAAAATGCGCTAAAGTTACTCGCCTTAGGGCGAAAACCTTTGTCCATTATTAGCGCATTTTCCAACTGATGTTGGAAGACGCTATTATGGCCACTTTATCCGTCCGTCCGTCCGTCTATCCGTCTAAGGCCTTAACTACTCCTACAGTTTTCAAGATATTTAGTTCGTTTGCATTCGGTAGCTAATAACACTGGCACCTCAACAAAAAAAATCTTGACGATTAATTTGCGCAGCCAACTTTCTTATTTATAGAGATATTTTTTTGCAATTTTAAGCACAGAATCTTCTAGTAAAGACAAGCACATCGAATATTGTAAAAATCAGATGTGCGCAATTTCAACTTTCTCATTTATTTTTTTTTATTGTATCCAAAGATTCTTCAAGTAAAGGAAAACATATCGTATATTTTAAACATTAGGTGTCCGTATGCGCAGACTGCGCAATGGTAAGCTTCTTTTATACCAATATTTTATGCCTCAACTCATTTTCCTTTGTACACTTGAATAGTCCTATGAGCTGTTACTTTCTAGCAACAAAAAAGAATGTTTTTAGCCTCTGCCTTACCCTCTGAAATTTTTTTTGGTTTTTGAAATCTTTTGAACAATCGGATTTTACGAACTATTTTTTCTGGCGTTAATATTTGACCTAGAGCAAAACCAATGCCCCAGCAACTTTTACTTCGTTGTTAATTTTTTAATCAGACGTTTCGTCTTTGCTGAACCATCATCAATTTCATTTTGCTAAATTAATAAATTTGACCATTTACGCTTTTTTGACGTTCTAATTTACATTTGCAATAATAATTCCCGTTTTTTAATAACGAGATAACTAACCGCTTTGTGAAAAAGTTGAAATAGCTAAAATGTTCCTCTACGCCCAGGGGGCATAATTCTACAAAATAGTTTTTTTTTCCAATACCTACATTGTTTTATTGAATTTAATCCCTAATTTTTGTGCATTAACAGGTAATTTTAATCCCTAGGGATTAAAAAATGTTAATCCCTCATTTTTGTTTGAACAATTCATGGAAAAATTGATTTAAATCGGTCGGTATTGGAAAAAATAGTATAAGCAACACTGCATTAAACTAGTTTTTGTTCCCTTAAGAATATTAAAGCTCGAGGGAACAAAAACTCTTTTTAATCCCTTGTTACTTAATATACTAATAGTAGTACTTAGTTGTATTAATATAAGTCTCGCTAGGAAAGATTGCCGGTCACAGCACACCTTGTGTCGATTTACAATCTTTGTTTTTATTAAGATGCGAGCGACTTCTGGAATAGGATCGTGCTAATGTTGAACAAAAAGTCTTTTCGTTCAACATTGACACGATACTGTCCCGGAAAACCTTACGAAATTAAGAGATTGTAGATCGGGATCGGACTCGGCAATCTTTCCTGGTGAGAGTTATAGTTAATATATAGAATCATAACCGAGATCATAACCTTCACCTACTCTTCAATGATCTGAATTTTATGGTTTTTTTTTCTGTCATTATATAAAACCGCCACCAGTGACATACTGGAAACGTAGCACAAGTCCTGTCCTGGACGACCTGGACAAGTATATAATTGATTTCTGTGTGCCAAGCAAATAAAAATCTCGAAAACTAAGGCGGTGTAGTATGCAGCCTCAGGCCATTTTTCTGCATAACCACCTGCATCTGCCTTTTATTAATCCGAAACATCAAAGTTGATTCCGGTTTAACTGCGCTTTGCTAACGGTAAGTTGACTTAGAAGAAAAATGTATGGCACATAACCATCGTCCCACGATGCATCAAGTTTTTATTCATATTTCTTTGATTATGTAAGTACTTAACGCACTTAACTTCGTTGATGAACGCAGTGGCCCGTTTTGATTGCACTTTAATTTGTACTTCCTCCGCGCTCGAATTAGTGTTGGGAAGTATAATTAATCGAGAGCTATAAAACCGATAGCCATTCGCATGCAAGAACGAATTGAATCTAATTCAGTGTTAACTAATCAGTTCCTTGTTTTACCTTTTGGTATCGACCATCTGGTGTGCATTCGGGAACGTAGAGCTGGTACAGTTTGGCGGAGTGCTGTTCGTTGAGGGCCGTTTGGCGATCGGAGGTGCAGTCGGTGGCGTCTTCGTCCTTGCGTTCCGCGGACTCGTCGTCGTAATTTTGGCCGCTACCGGTTGGGTGACCGTCTCCGTAAAGGACTACAAAATTGACAATATCAAGTAAAGACATGCAAGTGTGTAGAGCGGTTCAGTACCTCCATGAGGAGGAGACCTCGGCGAGTGGAAAATATTAACACCATCATCTTCGTCCTCGTCCTCCTCGTCAGGATTCGCGCCTTCCTCTCCTCGCACGTCTGCGTTCAACGACAAGAACACACGCAAAGAAACTATTTAAGTTCAAAACAAGTACGGGTACCTATCCTAAGTAACTAAGTTGTTAGCATAAGGCGGCTGCAACTACCACATATTACACGATTATATACTTAAATTAAGTTATTAAAGTTAAATTGTAGGCTAGCGGAAGCAACGCCGGATAAAGCGATTAGTTGATATGTCGTGGGGTGTAGTTTAGTGTTATTGTTTTGTTGGTAAAAAGCTCTGGATTTTCAATACCTACCATCCATGCCGTCTTTCGAGAGGCAATCGGACCACTCCGACAAACTGATGAGTTGATCTTGGTTCACGTCGCAATTTTTGCCAAAATTCTTCGAGCACCGTTTCGGTTTCACAGCCATCTTCACTATCTTGCGTAAATCGCGATATTCGCTTTGGTCAAGCTGCCCGTTGCGATTGATGTCCAGCCGTTTGAATTCCCATTCCACGACGACTTTGTCGACGTCCTGAATGTTTGGAACGGAAGCGCCGTTTTCGTGCAAATACTCGGTGTGGAATACTTTGATGAGGTTGTTATTGAATAGCGCGCGGTCCGCCCTTTTGCATCCACGTTTTGGTTTCTTCGATCGCATCGACGATCTTCGTTTCGTGGTCTTCTTCTTACGTCTGCAGCGCGGTTTCACGTTCGGTGCCCATTTCACTGACGATTGGGGAATCGGTATGCCCTGTGCCGTTACGCACCAGCAATAGCCGATCGAAGGGTAACACTGGGAAGACGCGTAGCTGCCGTCGGGACGACACTGGGGATGTAATGAGTTGTGATTGGCCGCGGCTTGTATACAAGACGTATGTTCTCTACACGAACCCGTATGGGCTAGGGATAGGTTTTTATTGTGACACTGTAATTTTTCGAGATGGCACTGCGTGGGGTACGTGAGTTTGTCCGATCCGCATACCGGTTTGCTGTCTTCTGTTTCTTTGCATAGTCTTTGGGCACATACCGTACCATTCTGTAACAAAAAAAAAGTACAATTAGTTCAAAGACGACAACTTGGGATAGTACCTACAAAAAGTACCCTTTTTTCATTATTATTACTCTTCCTTTCCAAAAATATTTCAATTTGTTACCCACGGCGCAATTCGAGGTAAGGTTCGGAGGCCTCTCAGTTTTGTGTGTGTAATTTGCATTAAAATAGACTTTACGAATAAATGCAAAATATTTGTTTTACCCATTGTTATGACCTGGGTAGTTTGTGAACAGAAGGCTTTAAAAAAGGCTAATGTTCCTTGGATACGTGAAGTAAATTAGGGCCGTTTTTCATTTAGACAATAAGCAGAAAAGATTACTTATTCTACCCTCATTATTCGAACTTGTATAGGGTGTCCCATTTCACAATACTTTTATAGGGTATCTCCGTAATTGTTGGTGATATCAAAAAAGGTATATAGGCATCAAGTGCTCTTTTTGGGTCAACATTAAAATGGCAAACCCGTTTAAGAGATACGGGGTAAACCAAATATCAATTTCAGAATTACCTACTTAAGAGATACAGAAAAATTTAAAAAAAAATACAAGTTTCTTTATAATGAAAATGGGATGGAAAAAATTATCGGACCTAACCTCATTTTTTTTTAATATGCATATTTTATAATCCAAAAAGATAGCATATTAAATTTTCTGGTGAAAAATATAACACAAAAAATTATAAAAACCAATATTGATTAAAAAATTTTTTCTTTTTTTTTAATCAATTAAATCTTTTTTTAATTACGTTCCTGGTATATTATACTTTTGAACAAGAATTTACTATGCTATCGTTTTAGATTAAAATATACAGGGCGTTCCATTTACAAAATGAGATTAGGACCGAACCTTTTTACTCGACTCCGTATACTTATTCGTGTTTTCTCCCTGTTTGTCAACAACGAAATAGGTTAATTTTCGATTTTGTTAAATATCTTGAAAAGACAAGAGGGCTAGATTTGGAAATCAATTCAGGCAGAATTCTACAAAACAATGTTAATTTAACCCTCTTCCTCTATTCTAAGAGATATCAATGGTGAGCATCAAAATATGGACACCCTGTATAATGTAGCGAATATCCCAGACATCGGGGCGCCATCAAGTCGAAACTTTCCGTTAGCTATATAAGCAAATTGAAGCGTGTTTAATGTCAGTTCCAATATCGATGCCGAAGTGATTATTAGTGAAGCTTGCACTCGTATGTGATAAATCTACCTGTGATAAATGTGTGTACAAGACTATTATAAATTTATTAATAATTAATATTACATAAATAAATCACATAATTAAATTTACCTTACAATAGAGTGTAACAATCAAGTATGTTCAAAAAAATTTACTGGTAGAGATGCTACTCAGCAACCACAATACAGAACTTTGTGGGTTTGTCCATTTTGATATCTGAGTATCTTTGAACATGAAAAATGAACAGAAGGCTAAAAAATAATGTTCCTTGGATAGACGAAGTAAATTAGAGCTGTTTTCATTTAGACATTAGGCGGAAAAATCATAAAGATTACTTGTTCTACAGTTAACATATCCGCACGATTTCTCATTTCTCGAACTTGTTCAGGGTGTCCCATTTCGCGACACTTTTATAGGACATCTCCGTAATTGCTAGTGCCATCAAAAAAGTTACATAAGCTTCAAGTACTCTTTTTGGGTCAAACCTAAAATGATAAACTCCCTTAAACGATACAGAAATACAAAAAAATGGGTATTATAAAACTTTCTTTGTGGAATAGTCTGACGTTTTTAGAATAGGTACTATACGGGCTCGGGCCATAAATATGATCGGATCTAACCACATATTTTTAAATGGCACGCCCTGTATATTTTAATCAAAAAAGATTGCCAAAACATAAAAAACAATCAATATTGAGTCAAAAGATTCAAATAAAAAAATCATTTGAACCATGTTTTATTTTTTTAAATCTTTTTTTAATCTTTTGGAATCCATTAAATCCTTTTTGAATATTCGCCCTGGTCTGTTATATTATTGAAGAAAAAATTTAATTTGCTACATGTTTAGATTAAAATATACAGGGCGTTCAATTAAAAAAAATGAGATTAGGTCCGATATCTTTTTTACCCGACTCCGTATACTTATGTTGAAAACTGTTTTCATCTGTTTGTCAACAACGAAGTAGGATAATTTTCGTTTTTGCCAAATATTTTGAGAGAGAGTGGGAAAATGGTATTTGAAATCAATTCAGGCAGAATTCTACAAAACAATGCTAATTTAAACCTCTTTCTCTCTTCTAAGAGATATCAATGGTGAGCATCAAAATATGTATACCCGGTATAATGCTGTAGCGATTACCCCAGACATCGGGGCGCCGGCAGGCGCCATCTAGTGTAAAAAAAAATATTAGTCACCGGTGACAAGGACTGAAAACGGCGCATTCTTTCCTTGAAATATAATACCCCTTCTCGACCCTTTGAGAATATTCCGTGATTTTTTCTAGAAACTTTCCGGTTGTTATATGGGAAAATTGAAGCGTGTTTAATGCCAGTTCCAACATCGATGCCGAAGTGATTATTAGTGCTCGTATATGATTAATTTACATGTTATAAATTTTTGTACAAGACTGTTATAAATTCAGTAACAATTAATTGCAAATAAATAAATCATGTAATTAAATTTACGTTACGTTATTTAAACAATTTAAAAGTAAAATTTTAATCTGTAATAGAAAAAAGAATTTATTATTTTCGCTCATTGTGCAAAACTATGCCTATAAGTTAGAAGTCGGTTCAGTGTAAAAATGATCGATCCGATGTTTAATCTAAATTTAAAGAAATTTTAAAAAACAGAATCTGAACTAAACAGTAAAATTTCCGTTGAAAAAGTTGTGATGTTACAAATCTGGCAGTTTTGAATTGCACAGTTCTTGCTATAAATTTTGTGCACTCATAAATGACGAAAAACTGCTACGCCACTGGATATGTAGTTGGCGGGAATCTAAAAATTCAATTTACTCAAAGGCGCAAAATCCATAAGTATATTATTTGAATACTGTTATGTGATTGATCTCTAAACGCTTATTATGTACAAGGTGGTTCAAATTGGAACTTTTCTTATGGAAACGCGCTTGATTTTAAGAGATCTAGTTGATCTACGGGTCTTGGACTCAATTTTAAAGAGAAAAGCATTGCCACAAACAGAATTCCGCTATCTCTAATCGTTTGGCCGCCAAGGGGCGTTTTTCTAATTTAGTCGATTCCTTTAATGCCCCTAACGTTCTTATTATTACAGATAATTGATTTTGGAAAAATCTTTCTTAGAGAACTTTTAATGTAGAATCCATCACGATAGATAGTTTTTATACAGGGTTCTTGGTTTCTTTGTACGACCCTAAACGACATTTTTCATACGAACCACCGTATATAATATATATTTTGGAGTTTTTGAAAAGGGCGAACCATTTCCTAAATTGTTATGTATCACTTGTTATATTTATTTTAAATATTATTTTGAAATACTGCTGAATATTTTTATTGCAGAGATCTAGGATTATTTAAAACGACAATTTTTGGTTCCGTCTTGACTATTTTTCCTTCTTTTTAATAAATGAAGACCCAAGCACTAATCTCTATTAAGAGGGCAACTTTTATTTGAATTTAGATTTTTTTAATGATTTAATAATAATAATGATAATAAATAATAAACGTGTGGGTTCGGGGATAGAATTGTACCACTCCCGTCCTGGAGATCGTAAAAGGCGATCCCGACTTTAGTACTTACACCAGGACCGAAGTCTTGAACGCATCGAGGTGACCAGAATTTTAAGAAGATAAAAACAATAATGCGAAATCTCGGTCTTTATATGAAATTTACGTTTGACAGAAAAGACTGAGATGTAGTAGGTATTGTCGAAGCATAACCGAAACACATTATACTAAACACGAAAACAATAAGGATGAAAAAAGAAGAGAAATATAAACAACAATGTAAAGAGGAAAAATGAGCTATATTGGACACATACGTACTAAGACGAAAAATATCAATTGACGTAATTGGTCATACATGGGAAAGCGGAAGGAAGAAAAGGACCGAGAAGACGCCGGACGTCCTGGTTGGAAAAACTAAAACGTGGAGCAGAAAAACAGCAATAAAACTCTTCAGAACAACAGCAGAGTAAAATGGATCATGATGATCGCCAATGTTCTTACGCATGAGGCACGCCATGAACTAAATCGACTTTATGTGGGGGGTATCAGACCATCCCAAAATTTTGCAAATATGCTTGACCTTTGTCTGGTACGACCGCAGTCTTTGAATCATCTTATCATTTGTCACCGTTGTGGTTCTCCATAGATTCGTATCGCGATTCAATGTTCCACAAAATAGGATTACGTAAGTGGATGATGCACGGTTTGTCCTCGACGAGCCGACCCAAATTTTGGAAGTGAAAATGCTCACAGCTGCATCGAGTCTCCCAAATCGCAACCCCATGAGAACAAAAACTCGGAACTGCAGATGATAATTAAACGTGCACGGTGAGCTAGGAAACAAAAAAAAGTCGCCTGGGAACCGCAAAACGTTTGAGGTCTTCGTCTTCATTCGAGAAAGAAATTCTATGCAAATGCATCTTCGCGGAATTTGCATAAAGATAAAGAAGCAACCGCAAGGATGACAGCAGCCCTAAAAGAATGTAAGTTTCGAAAGATCCAATTCAAGATAAACAGGTCGAGTCAGCTATTTTTTGTTATTGGCCGAGAATGCCTTCCTAAGTGATTTATATCGAGGGAAAAATAAAAGTTAACTTGGTACCAAGCTGTGAAATTGATCTTTGTTGTAATCCCGCCGCAGAAATCCGATTTCAATATTACAAAATATTATCGATTAGGAAGTGCGTCGCTCACGGCGTGTAAGTAAGTTTTAGTAAAACGCATCCCGGCTCGACCAGGTGTTCGACTCTTGGGACAGCATTCCTAAAGCCTATTGTGGAACAGGTGTGTAACTAAACTCCATTGTGTTTC